CTCTTTAATACACACACACACACACACACACACTACACAAATATACAGATTATTTGAGTAATTTCAGGTGTGCATCCACTAGAGAGCGTAGGTTGACAGTCTCCTTGCTCAGTGCCTACGAGTGTTGATGTCACAGGGCGGAGGCCTGTCAATAAAAAGCCATAGCGGAAATCATACAAGTTCAAACTGATAGTAAGCTGTTTTTTATTGCCTGACACTAAAGTTCTGAGGCATGTAAGGCATTTTTATCCAGTGGGCTCCGGTGGGCGTGACACATGATATCTGCAAACAGTGTTTCAGTCCCACAATGAATCACATTCACATGGCTCATTTGTAACAGTCTTGTGTCTGAGTTTATCACCCAGTCAAACAGTGAGTTTTTGTTAGAAGAGCACATTTTACAGAGGTGAGAGCAGGAACACTTTATTTGGATAGTCCGCCCCCACAGATTTCAACACCTCATTAGTTGAGATTCCACAACTGTTTTCTAACATAACATTACTGTGGTTGAAGTTTGGTTTAGGCACAAATCTGAGTTAAGGTATGTTCATGAATTGTGACATAGATAGTAGTCGGACTATCCAAATAAAGCATTAAGTAACTTATAGATACTACAAACTATCTACTGTAGCAACATGGTAAGCCTATTAACTTTCAGTCAAACACTAGACTTGCTAGAATCCATTACATGTTTTCTGTGTTTTCACATTCAGAAAGATCCTAAATAACACAGCCTCTGCCTCATTTGACCTCAAAACATTCATTTCCTCAGCAGATGTCACATGAGCCTCGTTAAAACTGAAACCTGTAGTTGTGAACCAATTTTAACATATTTTAGTGTTATCATAGCCTCAAAAGGCTTTGTTTCAACATCGACACTATATTGATTAGTAACCCTAACCCTAAGAATTAAAAGGAAAATAAGACATTAAGTTAGTAAGATATTGTTGTATGTTCAGCACCACCTTTAATACTTAATTTTAATGCAACGCAACATTTGTGACACCCACCGTTTGTCGAAAAATCCAAAGAACACCCAAAACCACCTGGATCAGTTCAATCTGAAAATTTCATACAATGTGTATTTGCTTCAAGGAACAAATGCCTCTGTCTATTGATTGCTGATTTGCACCGATCAGCCATAACATTATGAGCACTGAAAGGTGAACTGAAAAACATTGATTATCCATTTATCATGGCCCCTGTCAGTGGGTTGGATATATCAGGCAGCAAGTGAACATTTTGTCCTCAAAGTTGACGTGTTAGAATCAGAAAAAAGGATGATTTGTGCAACATTAACAAGGGCCAAATTGTGATGGTTAGACGACTGGGTCAGAGCATCTCCTGCAGCTCTTGTGGGGTGTTCCCGGTCTATCCAACAGACGAGCTACTGTAGCTCAAATTGCTAAATAAGTTAATGCTGGTTCTGACAGAAAGGTGTCGGAACACACCAGGGTGTCCAGGTGGTCATACTACTTGGCTGATCTGTGTATACCTGTACTATTAAATGTGCCTCAAGCCATGATATTGTCAACTTAAAACACATGTTGCTCCCACGTTGTCATACCAGACACGTGTAGCTGAGGGAATACATTTGTTCCCTAACCGTGCATACTGCTTTATATTTTCAGGAGGATGACACCAAACCAGCGGAGCCAGTAAAGGAGGCCAAAGAACACCTTCCGCTGTCTGACCCACAGCTGCTCCTTATGGATGCTGTCACTGAAACGGTTGCCATAGGAACTCTTCCTCCCCTTCACTTTCTCAACGAGACAGTTTTTGAAAAGACGGCCTCAGAGAGAGAGGACGGGGAAAGAATCCTCTCTCGCACTGCAGAGCAGAGGTCTGATCTCATCTCTGGCGTGTACGAGGGAGGGCTGAAGGTGTGGGAGTGCACTTACGACCTTCTGGAGCTCATTGAGAAAGACGGAGAGACCTTTGGGGGGAAGGCAGTTTTGGATTTGGGTTGTGGTGCAGGGCTGTTGGGGATATTGGCTCTGAAAAGAGGAGCCAAGCAGGTCCACTTCCAAGATTATAACAGTACAGTTGTTGAACAACTCACAGTGCCAAATGTAATGCTAAACTGCCAAGAGGATGATGAAGTAGACAGTGAAGATGACAAAGAAGAAGGGAGGGGCAAGGGAAAAATACAGGAGGAAGATGGCTGTAAAAAGAAGGTGAAAGAGAAACAAGATGAAAACCCGCCACCTAAGAAGAGAGCTGTAGACCTATCCCAGCAGCCATTACTAGCCAAGTGTCGTTTTTTCTCTGGCGACTGGAGCACTTTTCTTGCTTTGGTCAAAAAGGAGGACCCACAACCCAAATATGACATTATATTCACCTCAGAGACTATCTACAACACCGCATACTACCCCACGCTACATGAGACCCTCCACAAACTGCTGGCACCAGGTGGACTCGTCTACCTCGCCACCAAATCCCACTACTTTGGCGTAGGTGGTGGGCTGCACCTGTTTGAGACGTTTGTGGAGCAGAGGGGTATTTTCTCTTTGGATCACCTGTGGGATGGGGAAGAAGGACTTCAGAGACATGTAGTTGTGCTACGTTTTAAAGTGGCAAAAGACACTTGAATAAGTAAAGTCCTGGATTTAATATGCAGTTTTATTCGTACCTGTCAGGGACTTTTGTGCTCTGTTAAAAGAACAAGGAAAATCTGTAATAAAAAATGCTGTCTCATCTCCTATGTGCTCTTTGGTTACCTACACCTTCTTTCACTTCCTATATAGAAATTTGAATATGTCTGCCAGCAAGTGAAGTGCAGTTGAAAGGGGCTGTTACAGGTCTTTAGATGCATGGGGAGGAAAGAAAGGAAATGGGCTCAGTGACCTTTGTGAGTGATTTCCCCAGTGTTCAAACAGCAGCATGAAAGCCAGGCTTGTTTCTGAAGTCCGGCGCAAAATGTCAATTGCAACTTATCCCACCAGCCCAAGGATGTAGTTTGAAAGTGGAGTCTAGAGTCACTGCACATCAATGTCGGGACTCTATGGGGTCTCTGTACCTCTTATTTGAGTAATGGCTCCTCGTGCTTCTGTGGGTTTTTACCTTCAGTTTAAGCCACTACATAATCTGGGTGTGCTCCATTGCATAACAAAGAGGACATGACACATGATAATGAGTATATACATCCAGGAAATATGTGCAAATACGCATCCAAGTACAAGAAGGGAACTGCTGTAATCTTTCCAACAGCATCTGGATTCCCCTTTTTGTCCAGATCAAGGAAATAAGTTGAATTAATTGAACAGGGCTTTTTTTCTGAGGAAGTATGCATGAAGTCCGGGGTAGTTTCTCGTATATGAGTTGACTAGGTAAAGAGGATGAGGAAATCAGAGGGTTTTTACAGGGTCAGTGAACAATGAAACTATTACTGTCCGCTCGGTTGTTTAAAATCTGTGGGTTTTTTTATCCGACTGTCCCGGTGCTGTCATGTTCATCTGACCAGTATCACATCCTCACCATGTTTAACTATGACCAGACGGCAAACAAAGTTATTTTTATGAACGCTGTGATATTAATACAACCCTATCAGGCCTCACCTGAATAAATGATGACTCCAGCTACACAAATATTCGAATGAATTGATCTCATCCTAAACATGTCCATGACGCAAGCAGTATGCGCTTGCCCCGCTGATAAATAATATTGAGCAAAGATAAAAAACACTTTTCTAGGAAACATGTTGTCACCAGCTCCAACATGACTGTGCATTTCAACACCCACGCCTTGTGGACAGAATTTCCATTCACTTATTATGTAAACATACTGTCGTGTTAAACACTATTTCACTTTTACACTAATACCAAACACCAAACACGGTTTCTGTTTGCATGTACCAGGGCAGCAAACTTCCAGTGTGACGGCTTCGTCATAGTCTCTCATCTCGACAGCTGTTCACGGCCTGTGGGGGAATTCCTGGTTCCTCGAGTAGACACAGCCTTTCCCCTGCTTACTTTATGGGAACAGGGGGCAGGGCCACTCAGATGGTTTTCCTCAGAAACTATTATGTGTTGATTCACTGTGAGGGGGCGTGCTCTTCACTCCCACTGTTTCCTTCTTACTGGGAAGTGACTGTCAAGCTTACCGAACGGAGGGAGTGTATGAGAAACCGATAGAGAGAGAGAGAGGGAGGGCGACTGATGGGTGATGTGAAAGGTGCTGGTATTTAAGGTTCCTTTCTGTGAATGTCAGACAGTATGCTGTATCCTTCCTTGGGACTTAGAGGACATGGGAGAGTGAGCAGAATGTGCAGGTGAACTGGGGAGGGATGGCTGCACTGTATGTTCATCCAGATTTGGAAGACTTGCTGCTGATTCAACACTTAAACATCTTTTTGCTGCGATTGGACTGTTGAAGTGTGTTTGAGGCTCGACTCTGCGAGAGCACAGTCCTGGGAGGCCGCCTTAAGGAGATGTATTTCTAATAGAAGATCTGGAAAGAACATTTTCTGTGAATTTCTGGGGTAAGTATAAAGAAAGGTATAGGGATAGGTAGAAAACTGGTCAAAGTATGAACAAATAAAACAAAATACTGGATTTAGACAAATTTTTGTCTAAATTGTCCGAATATGTGTATATAAAACTACAAACTGCTTTCAACATATCTTAAGTTGTGAAATAGATTGTTTTAAATAGGTAGAAAGGGTTCTCAAGAAGTATCAACTTCCACATTTTCTGAGCGCTGGCAGATGAAGGATGTGTGTTAACCAAGCCAATCTTTGTATAGCAGCTGCTTAAATGAATACAGGCTTGAAGAATGGGTTAATGCCCTAATAAGGGATTTCTTGTCCAGTAATAGGCTGTAGAACCGGTTGTTTCCTCGTCCAACTGCCGGAAAGATAGGAGTTTCCTGAATGTGTTCAGGTGTGGCCTTCCTTAGAAAGTTCATTGTACTGTATTACATGAATCTTAAAAAAATTCACAGACTCAAACTGAATAAACCACAGTGACAGAGATAACATTGTACTGTACCTCACTGTCAATATTGACTGCTGACCTTGAATGAGGTTGGGGTTTTTGTTATTTTTTAGATGGAGGAGATCCTGTAATGCAACACAGGTCGGTTAATGGCAAACTTACTTTGGAGGGTTCAAAGATACATCAACTGTATGTCAGTAATCATATTGTCCCAAAGTTCTTTTCCGGGGAGTGTACAGCCATAACTGATGAGTCATTTCATTCCTTGACCAGAGCACTATCACCATGGTCTGATTCAGTGCTTGCATCAGACTTTCATTTCAGTGGTTGTGAAGCATTTCCAGGAATACTTAGGTTAAGAAGATTCCTCAGATGACCCTAAAACTCTCCATATGCTCTGCCTAACCGCATCATTAGATCCATTCAATCATAACTTCATTCTGGAGGTTTGTTTTCCACTTTGGTTTTTTATATTTCACTGACATAAAGTGCCTCTCAGTCTGTTGCCAAAAAGAAAAAGTAGATGTTTTAAATGACATACTGCAATACCGTATAATGTAAATGCCAACTATGATTCATTGCTGTTTAAGATCAACTGTAGTTGCCACTGCAGTAACCTATTGCTCAATCTTCCAATGAAAGAAGTAGGGCTGACGCTATGGTTTCATCATCGGCCTGCCTTTCTTGAGAAATAGGGACGTTGTGAGTGACTTCATCTCAGTGTGCTGCTCATGTTATATATGCTGAATCCACTTTTATTAGTGATTTCATACCTTTTTAATGACGATTTACAGGATATAGATGGTTTTACTTTAGTTTTAAGTTATTTGTGAGAACTGAGAGAATAAGCATGAATAATGAAGCATGAGCGTCAAATGATTAAGCCATTCATGATCAAGAGGCTCTCGAGGACCACATTTTGTTAAGTGCTCTACTATGAGAACTGAATTCCATAGATGGTGGCATCTTCAGGTGTCATCTATGGGCTCAGTTCTTTTGGCATGGTACTAGTTTGTCAGCCACACCGCACAGCACCAAAGAGCGGAAATCATAACCATCAGAAAGCACTAATACTTGTGTGGCTTACATTCATTCCAGCATGTCTTTGGTTTACTACACACTACTTTTATATGTTTGTGTGTATTGCTACCTTTCTCCACGTTATGAACCAGGAGTTAACTTGCATTTAATGGTTTTTAAAGTTGATGTTAAGAATATTGTATATTGTTAATAAAGTATAAATCAAAGTGAATTATTTTTCTGTCATTTATTAACTCATATAATTTTGTTTAAGTTTTAAAATGTTGCAACATTTAAGTAATATAGCATTTAAGGACCATCATTTTTTAGGAATACAATGGCCACCATGCTACGCACATAACCCACACATGCAAACCTTCTTTTTCAGATCTTATCTCAGCTCTAGTGCCATAAAATCTGCAGCCATGGTGATGGCAGCTAGATTAGCTATTAACAAAACATTAGATATGACAGCCAACATACTTTTCAATTACAATATAATAGGAATCTAACATAATTTCCAGCTGCAACTATTGAAGAATAAAATACACCAAACAGCTCGTTGTTATACAGACTTTAAAGAGAGGAGGACTCAATCATAGATAGTTTTACCAGTACTGATTTAAAGCAGTTGTTTTAGAGGTATCTGTAGTGCCTCAAAGTTAATCTTGGATATGTTATGTACTATAGACAGAAACCTCCTGATAAACTCTGTCAGCTCTATGACAGGACCATTACTCTCTCCAGTATCCCCAAAAAAGCGCTGATTTTTTAGGTGGTGAAGCCCTCAAACCAAACCCCATTCTGGGATTGCAGCCATGAGTGGTCGTGGCTGCTGAATTTACACACACACATATCCTACATAAATGTAACATTACAATAGAGGGTCCATAGTAGTGAGTGTGCTTCACCATCGTGGTTCGAGGTATATGACTGTGTTTACTGTGTGGTGGTGATATAACGGTGATAGTGTAATGGAAACATCTCTCTCTTGTACATAACAATGTAATATGTACAAGAATATCAAGGTGTAAAGACATGATGTGTGAAAAAAGGCTGACATCACGATGCCTAGATTATCTTTGCCTGGCAGGAAACCTGTTGGCTGATAAAAACACTATCTAGCTTAATGTGGCTCTACTCTTGCATTTAGTATTATGAAAGAGATGACAGTGCCATGACTATCTCTTATCACGGAAGTTAAGAATGAAAAAAAAAAGATACTCAAGTTCCTCACCATAGCACGTTGGGCTTTTTTTCTGTGTCTGGAAATGCCCGTTTTAAATTTATTTTTATTTAGAACATGCACTGTACAGCATTCGCTACAAGGATCAATAATCTGGTTGCTGCACAGACATGGAACTACCACATTCCCTTTCAAAATAGTAATGGTGTTTTGATGATTAATTTACCCTGAAAGTGAAGATGTATTTTTCTCTGACTGATGGGCTCCTTCACGTTAATTATACTTTCTTTTATTAAATGCTCGTGCTTTATGGACTAAGACTTTATGAAACCATATTGAAGTTAAAAACAAAAAAGTCTACACAAGTTGTGAATAGAACAGCCAAACTAATGTTATTTAATATGTATTTAATAAACATTAGTTGCAGTGGTGTAAAGTAACTAAGTGCATTTACTGAAGTAGTTTCCTTAAGAAGCTACAGTTGTGAGGTGTCTATTTTAATATAGAAATTATTTAAATATAAATAAGATTTTTATGCTACTTTGTCCTTTAAGTTCGC